TATGTATTAACCCGTGGCCAGGGAAAATACAAATATTCAAATTGTTAAAATATACTGAAGTTAACGTCTCGCTGGACGACCGTTGATAAAGTGTAAACTATCAAATTTGAAATCAGTTCTAATCAGGTTGACTTCGAATATTCAGATGCGAGTCCTCTCAAAACCTGAATGAATTAATAATAATTAATTCCCTTATAAAATTCAATGAGTTAATTTCTTACAGGATGAATACAGTGTCACTGAGATTTGTGTGAGTATTCATTAGAGATGCACGCAGTATTTGACTGATAAATCATTAAATAGAATATCCATCACTTTATAAAGGAAAACACACTTTTCAAATCAGACATATTTTTATTGAAGAGATGGAGATGAATAGTGTTACATAACTGAAGAAACTACAGTGAGTGTTATTATATTACTGAACACAAAATCTGTGTGAAAATACTGCCAAACAAAAACATTTCATGTTAAAAGGATAGTTCACCCCAAAAATAAAAATTCTGTCGTCACTTTACTGATCTTCAAGTCATTTCAAAACCGTGTGACTTTCTTCTGTGGAACATGAAAGAAGATATTTTGAGAAATGTTTTTTGTCCACACAATGGAAAGCAATGATACCACAACTTTGGTTGCCAACAACATTCAAAATATCATCTGTTGTGTTTCACAGAAGAAAGAAGGTCACACAGGTTAGGAACGACATGCAGGGAAGTAAATTATGAAATTTTTTATTTTTGGGTGAACGATTCCTTTAAGAAATAATAAATGATCAAATACAGTGATTATACTGAATGCGCTCAAGACAAATATATGTTTGTATTTACACTTATAGACCATTGAACAACAAAGTACATGAGTGTAAGCCAAAATTAAACATACAGATACATTTTAATCTGTTTGAAGAGTATTTATATCAGAGGGAACAGTATTCATAAATGCTAGTTTTTCCGCTGTCAGGTTTGCATCTCTCACTCTTAGATTCATCTTTGAGCAATTGATGTTATGTATTTATTATCTCTGAATTGTATTCTATTTGTTTAATTATGTAACTGGCATGATATATTTTGACAGATAAAATGTAATATTTGATTTATTCTGAACTCTTCAGAAATCACTATGATAAGTAGATCATGTGGAGGCTGATGTTTCCTCAAATCTGTGTCCAGGACAGAACAGACTAAAGGCTCGAGGATGAATGGAGCAGTAGACACGTCATGGATGTCCAGAATAATCAAATATCTCAATTAATACTAACCAGTATTTGTGATTAGTTACTAATTAGAAACACATTCTAAATGTAATGATCACTTGAAAATTGGAGTCAGATTAAACACAGAGCTACATTTTCATTTAGAAGGCGGGGCTTATTCGCCATATTGGGTGTTGCACATTCTCCCATTCATAAGTAATAAGAGTGCACAGTCTTCCTAAATATAAAGTCTTTGATCTTCACCCACGCCACTGGATTCCATCATTGGGCCAATGAGTGATCCTTACAAGACTTATATGTCATAGTTATACTATAATGTTACTCTTATTTTAACATTATCACTTATATAGTACTACAAACGGTTTGAAGAGTGAAAACGATAAACTAGTTCAGCATCACAGTCATGAATCATGTGGGTAGAGTGCATTTAAATTAATGTCTTAGCTGCTGGCAAGTTAAAATCTCTAGAGCGCCGATCCTGGTGTATAGAAAAAGTAGAGCTCATACAAACACACTCTGACTCTAAAGCTTAAACACAATCTCAGAGATCATTCATGTTCTTCACTCTCTGCAGGCTGAGTTACTGCAGTATTGGAGAGGAAGGCTGTGCTGCTCTGAGTTCAGCTCTGAGATCAAACCCCTCACACCTGACAGAACTGGATCTGAGTGATAATAATCCAGGAGACTCAGGAGTGAAGCTGCTCTCTGCTCTACTGGAGGATCCACACTGTAAACTGGAGAAACTATAGTAAGTTATTGAGTCAATGCTTTCATTTATTATCTTGTATTAAAGCAGATCTGAGTGTATTTTATCTTTCTCTGTATTGTACAGTATTTGACAGTGGAAACTCCACAAGCTCCAAACAAGTGAATCAAAACAACACGTCCTGAACAAGACTGTCACCTGGACAAATGCAGATACTGATCCAGCAGTTTCGCATGTGAAGGATTTTTCTTATTAATTTTCATTTAGCCTAGAATTGTTTTCCACTCTCATGGGAACATTTTTTTAAAATAAGTAGATTATAAATACTAACTTCACTGTAAAACTGTTAGTGTGAAATGACAGTATATTCCAGGTTAATAACTGCATGACTTTCACAGTAGTTTCACAGTGAGACTTCTCTTGTATCTAACTGCACTCTCAGAAATTACTTGTAAATAAGTTATTGGTTAATCTTCCTTTTTAAATAATGCTAAAATAAAATCTTCATGTTTATGTGAAGAATTGTTTGACTATCCTAAAGTCAGGCAAATCATTTATTTCATATTTTTGTTTGTCATCATTTTAACAAATGTTTTCATTTGTCACACTTCTGACGTGATTAGATCATAAATTTGAATATGAATATGCAAGGTCAAAGAGCACAAACAAATGGCATCATCAATCACCATTATGGTGACTTCAAAACAATTACACTAAACAAGTACATTTCTCACAGTGGCACAGCTAAAGACAACTTTATAATGTGAATTCACAGTAAAACAAGAGCAGTACATAGTAGACATGGAAATCATGACATAACTTTCACTTTTTACCCACTTTTAAAGTGGGTTTAACATATTTTTCTTTATACAGTACATTATAATATAAGCCTGAAGATGATAAGAAAGTTAATTAAATGTAGTTCTAAACATAGTATGTGACAATGTGTTATAGTTTAAGTCCTGATGCAGCCTCAAGAGGGAGCTCATGAGAGAAGATGTCACAGTTTACCAGCAGAGTGCTAGAATCTCAAGGAGAGAGTTTGACATAAAACATACTGTAATAAATCAATTAAATTAAACGTGTAAAATATGAATGATTTTAAAATAGATCTAACTATGAGCCCTCTGGGATTTCACAAATCTTGGTAAATCTTTGCTTTTAATATTTATTGCCAAGCTTTCTTCCAATGTGTATTATTCAGTAAGAAACTCATTATTCCGTTTTTCTTTTGGGGTAACCTTTTTTGTGATGGAAATAAAAAATACTGTGTAATATATTTATTAGGACATATTGGGTCAAATATATATTTACCCCTGAAAAGCACAATGTAGTTTTGTTTAGTTTTTTTCTGTGTTAAATAGTTTTGGTGTCTACACATTAAAGTAAACCCAGAGGATTACACTTACAAAATAAATATTAATAAATACTAAGAAATACTTCAGTTGTTTCAAGCCTCAGGCTAAATTAACAGCTGCAACAGTTTATCCCATGGTCATGCCATTTCCCTAGAAAATACATTTGTTGGTTATGATAATCAGTTTATTGCCAAAGCATGGCATTTCAGGATACAAGCAACAGTATCCAGCAATATCCAATATATTTTGCTTATTTGAAGGGACATGTCTTCCCTTTTTATTCTTCACCTGTTCACCTGTCATGTAATAAACAAACAAACACATGTTTGGTGTCTACTGAGAAGCATCACAGATCAGAATCTTTGTGAGAATAATGACTTACAACTGTGAATCAGTCCTATTAATACAAAGCAGGGCTGCTCATGGGTGCCCTAAGCAGGGTTGTATTGTTGTGCTCCCCTACTATAACACCTACTATAGGGGTCAAAATAGAACTTTAATAAAATATAAAAGTAAATAAATAAATAAATTGTATTAATTACAAATTACAAATCTAGACAGTTACATATGGCTATGAATTTATTAATACAGTTGTCTGATTGATTTTATAGCCTCAAGCATTCAGAAATCATGCAAAAGAAAATGAAGCAGTTTTACTACGATAAAACCATGGTTAATTTTTGTGATGTCCACATTATTTTTCTTGAAGAAATTATAGAGGCTGCGTCATCCATATAGCAAAAAGGTGGCCAAAAATGAAAGATTAAGTGGATATTTGAATTAAATTTTTGATCATTAGCCTATTAAACAATGATTTGATTGTCCTGTAAGTGAAGCAGCAGCAATTACATGGCCTTTGGCTCCCTTTGCAGGCATTTGTAATAACATGTAATGTACATAAATTGTTAAAATACATAATGTAATACAAAATAAACAGTGTTATTCAATGAAACCATATAATTATTAATTAGCCAATCATTATTTCCTCATTGTTTTTATATAATGCATTTTAAATAATTTGAAAGGCTATTGTTGGCTTAGGTCTGTTTTTATAACCACAAAAAAATTACGAAGGAGGCCGCGAGTTTCCGCATGGCCAGAGCACGTTCCGGTGCGACTACAGCTCTCATTTGAGCTGAGTTGAAAACTGCCCCCAGGAACAATATTCGTTGGCTGGGAAGCAGCATGCTCTTGACGAAGTCGACCCTGAGTCCCAGGTGCTCTAACTAGCTGTGGAGGAGGGTCCTGTGTGCTATCGATTCTGCCTCTGACTGGGCCAGCACGAGCCAGTCGTCAAGGTAATTGAGAATGCGGATTTCCATCTGCCTCAGAGGGGAAAGAGCCACGTCCATGCACTTCGTAAAAGTGCGGGGGGCCAGGGACAGCCCGAAGGGAAGGACCGTGTACTGATAAGCCACTCCCTCGAAGGCGAATCTCAAGAATCGTCTGTGACGGGGGGCTGTTTGGATGCGAAAGTAGGCATCTTTCAGGTCCAGAGAAAAGAACCAGTCCTCTGAGCGGATCTGCGAGAGGATCTGTTTCAGTGTAATCATCCTGAACGACCTTTTCACGAGGGCGCGATTCAGGTGTCTGAGATCGAGCGAATTGGAGTGAATAGCCTCGTTCTATTATCTACATAACCCACTTTGACACTCCGGGGATGGCCTGCCAGGCCTCGGCCCGCGTGGCTAGGGGTTAGATTAGCTCGAGTGACTGGCTGCCCGAAGGCACGGCACTCGTGGGAAATGGAAGATGAAATTCTTTTTGAAATTGTATGTGTTTTATTTTTACCGCTATAACAGCGGTTGGTCGCTTGGGTGCTTGAACGGGCCCAGAATTCGCAACAAACACATTTTCCTCTGCACCCAGGGTTGAACGGGGTGACAGGAGGCTTAAGAGAGGTCGCTTTGGGGGTGGTCCGGCTGCAGCGAGACCTGGCCCCATCCTCTTCCTGTCTCGTGGATCAGGAAGACGCCGGAGGCGCCGGATCCAACGCTACCCTGGGCCGGGGTCCCTGGCGCTTAGGAAAGGGGTAGCGTCTGGCCGAGCGGGAATGCCCTCGCGTCTGCTGAGTCTTGGCAGGCTGCACGACGGGGGCGTCGGGTGCTGGCTTCTCAGGCTGCTGAGTTGGCGTAGATTTAGGGCGACTAGGAGCAGCAGCAGTGCTGGAGCGCTTTGGCAGGAAGTGTCGAATGGCCTGGGACAACTTCTGTGCCTCCGTGAAGCGCTCGGCGAATCCTTCGACCGCCGGTCCGAAGAGGCCGTTGGGAGAGATCCGGGCGTCAAGGAAGGGGACCTTATCCGCGTCCTTGATTTCCATTAGAGTTAGCCATAAATGGCGCTCGAGCACCACGAGGCTGGCCATCGATCTCCCAATCGCCTGGGCGGTGGTCTTGGTGGAGCGCAGAGCCAGGTCAGTCGCACTCCTCAGATCCCTGAGAGTCGCGGGGTCCAGGCCAGACTCCTCCGTGGAGGCGAGGATCTTGGGCTGAAAAAGCTGGAGGACCGCCATAGAGTGAAGCGCTGAAGCTGCCTGTCGAATGCTGAAGTGGTCCTACACGGCTTGGATGGATGAGCGACCTTTGCCTTCCATCCGATGGCCGTGGGCGGGCAAAGATGCGCGGTCACTGGCTCGTCCAGGGGAGGCAGCTTCTTGTATCCCTTTTCTTCAGCGCCGTCAATAGAGGTGAGGGTGTGTGAAGCGGAAGTACAGAGGTGGACGGAGTAAGGAGAGCGCCATGACTTGGTGAGCTCGTCGTGGACCTCTGGGAAACATGGAGAGGGACGCTGACGAGGGGCCTGATGACGCCCCGGCAGGAACCACTCGTCCAGACGGCTACGAGAGGGCTCCTCTGGTGGAGACCACTCCAAACCCAGCTCCTCGACTGCCTTCAAGAGGATACGGAGAAGTTCGGCATCCATCCCGGTTTTGGTAGCCTTGACGATGGCAAGGGGGCGGGATCATTGGTTGAGCACGACAGCTCCTCTGCATCCGAGGCTGCTAATGACATGCTGTCATCAGGCAGCTCGTCCTCACTTAACCCGAACGAGACCAGGTCGCTCGTGCTGGCAGAGGGACGCTGCTCAGGCTGGGAGAAGAGGACGGGTGAAACCTCTCTCTGTGGCGGGGGCAAGTCACGCGGGATCTGGGCCGACGTGAGCTCATCCGCAGCCGAACGCTCAAAGCCTCTGCCTCGCTGTTTTTTCCTCACAGGTCCCTGGGAGGAAGAAAACGGGAGGGCGGGGTTGCTTTCTGAAAAGAAAGCGATCCACGAGCGAAGAGAGGCGAGACTGAAGTTCTCGCAATGAGAACAATCAGCCCCCGTGAGAGCGGCTTCCGCATGGGGTTTCCCCAATCAGGAAACGCACTCCGCATGGCCGTCATCGAACCGCAGTAACGGCGAGGCATTTGCAACAACGCCTAATTTTCTCTTTTAGAAGCTCTTTTAGAACGCCGGATGGCGGCAGGGGAACAGGACCGGAGCTGCTGCGATGCTGAAGCGAAGAGCAGGTCAGCGGAGCAGGGAGATCTCAGTCCAGCTGCGAGGCATCAACAACGAGAAGGCTTTTCAGGATCAGCGTTGAGCGTAGAGTCGTTGCTGAAGGAGAAGAAATCTGAGAATCCTGTGGCGAATGCCCACTTATATAGCCAGATGGCTCCGCCCATTCTGGCGGGCTTTGGCGGGCTTTGTCGCCATAGGCTTGTGCAGCACCGCTGCCAACCCATTGGTTCGTTTTTTAATACACTGCACGAACCAATGGTTGTGCAGTTTCACTGCGTGATTGAAAAAAAGGCTTCAGTTCAGGAAAAACATTTTTTTTCCCCATAGCGTCTTAAGACAAGACGCAGTACAAGTGTAGTATCGACAGGG